CAAATAGGGCTAAGTAACTTGCCCCAGGTGTCATAGTTAGTAAGTGTCTGAGTCTGGATTTGAACTCATGAAGATGAGTCTTCCTGACTCCAGGTTTGGCACTCTATCTGTTGCCCTCTAATTATTTAGATCTATCTTTATTTGTGTAAAGAGTGATTTGTAACTGTTGCCCCCTTCATTTTTATTCATGTGCTACTGAATAGAAATGGAAGACACACAAAAAACCTGTGCTGACTGGATTCACTACAAATTTATGTTATTTAATCTTGACTGAGCCCTTAAATGAAGCAAAGCAACCTTTCTATCTTTTCCTAATCAGTTCTCTGTCCCAATCACCAAACAGTGGCTGTTCCCAACCTTCTCTTCCTTTCTTCAGCCTCCCATGGCATCTCCTCCCACAGCCAACTCTGCTCAGAACTCTGCCTCATATCTATTTAACTAAGGCCACTTACCAAGAAGGTCCATTTTTCCTCATCTTGCGTCCCTCTGACATTATCTCCTACTATTTTCATCATTTCAGTCTTTCACAATGAGGTCCTTTTCCTTTCCAAAGCCAATCCTGGTATATGTATCCACAAGTCCCATCTTCTGCAACAAACTGCCAACTCTATCATCCTCACTCTCGAATCTTCCCTGGAAAAAAAAACTCACCTTCTCTACTAGTTATGTTCCATATCTCTCCTCCATTTCTCAGCTAAACTTCTTTTTTTAAAATTAATTCATTTTGATTTGTCAACAACAACTTCCACAAGCTTTTGAGTTTTAAATTTTTCTCCCCTTCCCTCCCTAAGATGGCACAAATCTGATACAGGCTATACTTATACATTCCTATTAAACATATTTTCACATTAGTGATGTTGTAAGGAAGAATCAGAACCAATGGGAGGAACCACCAGAAAGAGGAAACAAAACACAACAGAAAAAAAAATAGCAAATAGTATGCTTCAATCTGCATTCAAACTCCATAGTTCTTTCTTTGGATGTGGATAGCATTTTCCAACATGAGGTCTTTGGAGATGTCTTAGATCCTTGTATTGCTGAGAAGGGTTAAGTCTACCAATATTAGTCATCGCACAATGTGGCTATTACTGTGTACAATGCTCACTTCATTCAGCATCAGTCCATACAAGTCTTCCCAGGTTTTTCTGAAGTCTGCCTGCTCATCATTTCTTATAGCACAACAGTATTCCATTACATTCATATACTACAACTTGTTTAGCCACTCCCCAATTGATGGGCATCCTCTCAATTTCCAATTCTTTGCCACCACAAAAAGAGCTGCTATAAATATTTTTGTACATGTGGGTCCTCTTCCCATTTGTATGATCTCTTTGGGATACAGCCCTAGAAATGCTATTTCAGCTAAACTTCTTGAAAAAGCCATTCAAACTTGGTGCCACCACTTCCCTTCTCTTCATTCACCTGAAGCTATTCTTCCCAAGGTTACCAATGAACCCTCAATCCCTTTAAAAATAATCATCCTTTTAAACTTCTGTGAATCATTCATATCATCAGTCACATTTTCCTCCAGGATACTCTCTCCTTTCTAGGTTTTTGTGATACTGCTCTCTCCTGGTTCTCCTACCTGTTGGACTACTCTTTCTCCCTCTCCTTTGCTAGTTATTTGTCCAAGTCATTCTTACTATTGTTGTTCCCCAGGGCTCTGTCCTGGGGCTTATTTCTTTTCCCTCTCCAGGGGCTGGGTGAATACAGCACAGACCACAGCTTGTTTTTATGTGCCCTGGAAGGTAAGAATGGTTTTTACATTTTAAAAAGTTTTATTATATTTTTAAAAATGTAAAAAACCATTCTTAGCTGGAGGCTACAAAACTAGGCCACCATACTCACTTGGCCTGTAGGCAATAGTATGCTGATCCCTGCTCTATACCACCTCTCTTGACCAGCTCATTAGATCTCATGGGTTTAATTATCACCCCTATGCAGATGATTTCTGGATCCATACCAACTCTAGTCTCATTCCTCCTAGCCCCATCATCAATTGCTTGTTGGGAGATTTTGATCTGGATGTCTCATAGAAATTTTAAACTTATCATGTCCAAAATGGAACCCATTGTCTTTCCCCCTAAATTTTCCTCTTTTCTGAACTTCCCTATTAGTGAAGAGGACACTACCACAATCCCAGTCACCCAGGTTTGCAACCATGGTACTATCCTTGACAATTTGTGCTGACTCAACCCATGCACTGAATCTGTAATCAAATCTTGTCATTTACAACACTGCTCATGTATGTCCCCTTCTCTCCACTCACACGATCACCACTATAGTTCAGATCTTTATCACCTCTTGCCTGGATTACTGCAATATCCTTCTAGCTGATTTTCTAGCCTCAAGTCTTTTCTCACTCCAATCCACCCTCCAAACACCTGTCAAAATGATCTTTCAAAGTAGATGTCTGCAGGGCAGCTAGGTGGTGCAGTGGATAGAGCACCGGCCCTGGATTCAGGAGGACCTGAGTTCAAATTTGGCCTCAGACACATAACACTTACTAGCCGTGTGACCCTGGGCAAGTCACTTAACTCCACTGCCTAGCCAGAAAAACAAACAAACAAACAAACAAAAAAACCAAAGTAGATGTCTGATCATGTCACCTCCTTCCCCCCACCCCAATAAACTCCAATGGCTCCCTATTGCCTCTGGAATCACACACAAAGTCCTTTGGCATTTGAAGCTCTTCACAACCAAGCCCCTTCCTACCTTCCCAGACTTCTTATGCTCTGTCATCTATACTCCAGCCACACTAGGCTGCTGGCTTCTTCTCACACATGACCCTCCATCTCCTGTCTTTCTGCCTTTGCACTAGGTACTATGTGTATGCTCTCTGCTTACCCCTGCCTTTTTGTCCCTGGTTCCTCCGAGACTGTTAGGTCAAATCTCAACTTCTGCAGGAGTTCATTTTATTGACCATCCCTCCAGTTTTAGTCTCTTCCTCTCTGAGATCACTTTCCATCTATTCTGAATGTCTTTTCTATGTACCTATTCATGTACATGCTGTCTCTCCTATTGTAATGTAAGTTTTTTGAGGGCAGAGACTATTACTGTTTTTCTTTGTATCCCCAGTGGTTACTCCTGTGCTTGGCACCAAATAAATATTTAATAAATGCTTGCTAATTGGTATTATGTATTAATATAACAATATTATAATTTACATTTTGGAATACTAATATATTTATGAGAGTGCTAGGTGGTATAGCAGATAGAGTGCCAGGAGTCAAAAGACTCCTTTTCCTGAGTTCAAATCTGGCTTCAGTCACTTATGTCACTCCACGCTGTTTGCCTCAGTTTGCTCATCTATAAAATAAGCTGGAGAAGGAAATGGCAAACTACTCCAATATCTTTGCAAAAACCAAACCCAACCCAACCCAAATGCGGTCATAAAGAGTCAGACACAACCAAACCCAACCCAACCCAAATGCGGTCATAAAGAGTCAGACACAACTGAATGACAACAATGTATTTATGTGTTTGTCCCTATAAAATTGCGATCTGTTCTCCTGTTTTGGCTTTTCATCTTCATCCTCTCCTCACTCTTAAATGTATTTATCAAGATTTTATCAAGCCCCTTCTCTTCTCTTTTTATATTTTTCTGGTGATCTCATCCAATTCTTCCATTATCATTTTAATGTTGATGATTTACAAATTCCTATCTCTATCCCTCCTCCATTTTTCTCCAGGATAGCAGTCCCAAACAGTAGTTCAAGCTGCTTGTTAAAATTATCCTCTTGGGTAGCCCAATGGTCCTTAAACTTATTATCTTCCTCTTTAAACTTATCCTTCTCACCCAACAACCTCTGGTTTTTGCACTACCCACTTTCCATTCAACAAGGCTAATAATTACAGTGTTATCTTTTATTCTTTTTTTGCCACTTTTCACTCTTCCCTATCCCTTACTCTATATGCAGTCAGTTGTCAAATCTTACCATTTCTGGCTCTGCAGTCTCTCTGCCCACTCCTCTTCATTGTTACTACAACCCCCTTAGCTCAAGGGGTTGAATCTCTTATTGAATGAATTATTGTAATAACCTCTTAGCTAGTTCCCCTTTTTCCATTCTATTCCTTCTCCAATCCATTCTCTACATTCTTGCCCAATTAGTCTCTCTGGCATACCACAATGATCCTATGTTTCCCTACTGCTTTCTGAATAAAAACTCTTGATTGTTACAGTCAAGGCCTTGATAATATGGATCCAAAATAATTAACCAGTTTTATCTCCTACAACACCCCTTCATGTATTCTATGTTTCTGTCAAAGCAGACTACTTTGCAGGTCCTTTTCTTTTATATCCTTCATGATTATGATCATACTATCCACCATAGAACAAATTACCCTTAAAGTTTGTTTGTTTCACGTCCCTACCCTTTCTTTCAAGGTATAACTCAGATGCCACCTCTTCCATGAAACCTCCCTGACAGGTGAAAGTGATTCATAAATATTTGTTGAATTTAATGTTTGTTGAACCTCTTCCCTCTAATAGCACTTTCCTGGCTTTCCTATTTGCATACATGTAATTTTTCCATCTTTCTACTATCACTGCCAAGCACAGTGCCTTGGGGCACTTAGAAATATTCTGAATTGAACTGATGTCAGAGACTATTCTTTCACACATTTTTGCTTTAGATTTCTACATAGGACAAAGAATATACATTTTTAATGCTTGTTTTTACTCCTTTCATGATCTCTCCTACCTGTCTTTTTCCTCTGCTCTCTGTCATACACACACCTAGAACAAAGTTTGTACTCAGTAAATATCTACTGATGGATGATTTAGAACAGAAGCTTCTCATTTCCCCCTTCCTTTCTCTCTGTGTGTATATACTCACCCCCCCCAAATATCTATATCTATATTCACATATCTATCCTTCAATTCCTGAGAACATTGGGAGCTGGGAGTTTTGAGCCATCCAAATAAACAATGAGAACTGATATCCACTTTCTCTGGGTGGTACGCTGGGGAATGGGTCAGGAGAGAGATGGTATCTCACCTCTGCCTTACGAATACTTTCTCTGGCTTCATCTATCTTCTGTTCCAGTTCTGCTCGGTTTTGTTCTGATATAGCAACACCATGACATTCTAACTCTTCCAGGGCCTGTTAAACAAAAGAGGAAAAGCACAAACATTTTGTTATATAGAAACCAGGTATTCATGGTAAGACAAAGAACTCATCAAATCATCAATTAAGGATGCTTTATGCTGAACAAAATTTCCCCAAAAAGCAAAATTAGATATTTATTCTGCTAAATCCCACTATTATTGTATAGAAGACAATGTCCAATGGAATTCTGAACATTCCAAACAATAAGCCTCAGACTATTAGATACTTTCAGAAATGTCTGAGCACCTTTAGACAGACATGCAAACAGACGTGTGGTCAAGTAATCTGGAGGGAATTTTTTTTTCCTACTAGGTATCCTTGTCTCTTGGCCTGCCATAGCTATAAGCTCTAGTGCCAAGGGGATATGTTTTTCCAGTCCAGATAAGACAAAACCAGGGCTACACACAAACTGAAGAGGTAGGTAACATCTGCTGGTTCATTAGAAGGTGTTAAGTTAAAATTACAATGCAGGTGAAGTCTATGTTTGGCACCCTTTCTGCCCCTTTCTCCTACTATGTAGTCCCGTCTCTTATTGTATGCTTGGTAACCTTTTGACTGTGGTCCTTTCTTCCCATCCGATCTCCCAATCAAAATCTGATCTCAGGTAATGATTATCATTAACATTTTAATGTAAAATACTAAAAGTCTTGCCATTCCCTTTCCCAGAGATACCTTAATCTTTAGTTCTTCAAGAATTACAAAAGGCTTCCCTCACAACAACCCAGTGAAGTAAATGATGCAAATGTTTCTCTTTCTTACAAATCAGGAAACTGAGTCACCAAGAGATTAAGTAAGTGACCCAAGATCACATAGTCAATTAGTGTCAAAGACAGTATTTGAACTTTATGAAGAGTTAACATTGTAGAAGATCTAAAGAGGTTAAATTAATAGGGAGAAATATAAAGACCTACACTTGAGTTCAAAAAAATCAATCACATGGAGTCTAGGATGAGAGAGGTGACTGGATGATGATTCGTGTACGGACTTGAGAAGGCAACTCCACATGACCCTAAAATGTCACACAGCAGCAGACAAAAAAGGTAACGTCCTCTTAGGCTGCATGAAAAGGCAGCTAGAGTCCAGAACAGGAGAAGTGCCAGACCAGCTACAGCTTTACCTGGACAGACAGCACTGTGAGCAGGATCTTCACCTCTGGGTGCTGTATGTTAGGAAGGATACTGGCAGGCTGGAGCATATCCAGAGGAAGGCATGGTGAGGCGCTAGAGAACATGACAGAAGGAGTGGTAGAAAGAAATGGGAGTATCTGGTAACTTAGAGAAGAGAAATGAAGGCTATATTTAAGTTCTAAAGGGCTAGCATGTGGAAAAGACTGTCATTAGACTTGTTCCACTTGGCCCCCAAAAGCAGACATGAGCTTGAAAGAATGAACAACTTCCTAGAACTTAAGCACTGCCCCAGCCTGGAATGGCCTACTTTGACAGCAGGGTGTGTCTTCTGTTCACAGAGCCTTTAAGCAGAGGATAGATGGCCCTCTGTTGGGGATGCTGAAGAAGGTATCTCTATGGAGGCAGCAGAGGGGTCAGACTAGATGCCCTCTACAATAGCTCCCAACTCAGCTTCTGTGATTGTGTGTGATTCAGGTCTCCTTCAGATTCCAAGGCTGATGCTATTTACTTCCTGGGAGTACTTGGAGGAAATCACTTGGCCTTCTGGGGCTTCAGTTTCCTTACCTCATGTAAGGGGGTTGATCTAGATGCCAAGAAGGGCCTTTTAGTCACTGTGATCTTTTTCTTTGAACTCCTGATGACACAGCAAACATTCTCTCAATTTTCTTATTTAGAAAAAGATTATGATATTGTGGGAAGAGCTATTTGAATCTTGGCTCAAATACTTTCTCCAAGTTATAACATCTGATGAGTCAAGTCACTACACCTCTATAAGCCTCAGTTTCCATATCTGAAAAAATGGGAATAATATTTGTGTTGCCTATCCCATGGGGTTGCCAAGAGAGAAAATTCTTTTAAACTGGGAGCTCTGATAGAAATAGGAGCCATTATTATTATTCTATATTGGCACCTTTTCTGGTTAAGAACTCTTTTCCATTTTCCCAAACCCTGAGATCCGATCCTTAGGGAACATGTAATATGGGCAGCTTTACTCCCTTTTTCTGGTGAGATTCCAAATAACAAGGACAGCAGCATATAGGCCTAGAGGCACGCCATACAAAGCCTCAAGATCTGGGATCTCTATTTCTACCACTGCTAAGGTGCCACATAACAATACCACGGTTCAAAGGAAAAAGCCCTGGACGTGGAGTTAGAAGACTTGGATTCTAGCTGTCTCTTCTACTTACCCCCTGTATAATCTTAGGAAAGTTATGCAACCTTTCTGAGCCTCAGTTTCTTCATCTGTAAAACAGGGATAGTAATACCTAGGCACCTCACAAAGAGTGGAAAGGATCAAATAGGAATTCATATGAAAATAATTTTTAAAGTATGACATAAGAATTATCATCATCATCAACATCATCCTGGTAAAAGTTCAGATTCTTACTTGGGGCTGGTATAATTTCTGAGAAAAATACCTATGTGTAGAAAAAAAATCAAGTCTGGAGATCAATCTTGAGGGCATATTTTCCCACAAACTAAAAGACTATTCAAAAGGCTATGTTTCTAAAGATAAGATTTCAATTGGGCATAAAAGGCTCATCTTTGTTCAACAGATTCAAACCAATTTATCAGTCAAAGGCAGATAATAAGGCACCAGTAGGCTTTTAAAGGTTCTTCTATAACTGACAGATGAATTGACATGTTACCCCTAGAGGTTCTGAGAAGCTTCTAGGATAAGGTAGGCCAATAACTTAAAACTGTAACCTTCTTTTATCCTTGGAAGACAAGGTGGCTGTTTTGGTACAAACAAGACAACTCCACAAGTTCGTATTTTGAACAGATAAGGGTTTCAATTGGAGAAGAACCAGTAGGGTATTCTCTCTATTCACAGACTTGACAGTTTCTAAACTGGCTCCACATTTGGTTTTGGCTGAATGTGGTAGAGGACCACCTTTTAAACTCAGAGCCAAACACTGCTGCTTAGCAACGCTATCATAGAACAGTGATTGCTGGCCCAGAATTCCTTGGAATGATGAGTGCACCTGAGTGTCCTTGTGCCCTCCAGTTTGAGTTCTCCTATTGCCCTAACTTGAAAAGAAATAGAAATCCAGTGAGGGGTGAGGGATGGCTCCCTCTTGTTCTTCTCAGCTGTTGTAATATATGCTCTGCTGAGGTTGTTATTCTGCTCATTGCTCCAAGGTAGATGCAAAGGATGGATGGAAAAGGAAGGATGCACTAAGTAGGACAAGGGTCCTTAAAAAGTATATATGCCATGGAGACTAGAATTGTCTGAAACTTATATTTGCCACTGAATTCCCACAGGCACATGAGAGTTTCTGGGTACTTTTTGCTCTGCCATTCCTTACGGTAATGAATAGTAATGATGGGCTATAAGCAAAACAGGCAGCTAGGTGGCTCAGTGGATACAGCACTGGGCCTGGAGTCAGGAAGGCCTGAATTAAAATCCAGCCTCAGAGACTTATTAGCTGTGTGATCCTAAGCAAGTCACTTAACCTCTGTTTCCTTAATCCACTGGAGAAGGAAATGACAAACTAATACAGTACCTCTGCCAAGAGAACCTCATGGGACAGTACTGGCATGCTATGGTCCACAAGGTCACGATGTGTTGGACACAAATAATGACTGGACAAATAAGCAAAACATGTATGAAAACCACTGGGAAGTGGAAGAGGTGGTCAGCCACCAGGGCTTCTGCTGGTGCTATATAAAATCCAGGAATCAGGATTGGTCAGATAGGTACCTCTCTGGGTCTCAGTTTCTTTCTTTGTAAGATGAGAGCATAGGACTAGATGCCTGCTTTGATCCTGTCTAGTTTTAGTGTTCTATGTTTTAAGGCCTCTGCTAGATCTAAATTCCTGATCTCATCATGCTAGAGTCCTTCCCAGCTCTAACATTTCATGTTCTATGTACTCTTCAAGTTCTAACTTTCTGTTTTCTATGTTCTAAGGTCTTTTCGAGCAACATAAGCTGATGATATTTAAGTCTAGCTCCCTCTTTGATTGTTGCTAGAAATGCCTTTGAGATCTTTTGTGTACTCTTGGTTCTTATGGTTACAAAATCAATGCCACGGACTAACATGTTGCCTCACTCAATCTTTCCCAGTTTTTCTTTCTTTGAAAACTTCAAAATCTGTCTGGCTCTAAATGAAAATGTTTTCTCAGAAAGCCAATGAGCTAAACCCTGCTGTAACATACCCGCTGGTTGTGGATGATGTTTTTGTGCTCTCGGGCCACCCTCGTAGCCCACTTCCGGGCCTCCTTGTTTAAGCTGTGTTCCTCTGTGGTGCCTGTTTCAGATTCCAACTGTCGGCTCTAAAATACAAGAGAGAAAACATGGAGAAGAAACATTGTGATAGCTGGGGGAGACTGGTCATCATTCTGGAGCTTAGAATGACTAACCAGAAGGCTTCTACGCTGTTAGTCCTGACAGTAAAGTCAAGTGTAAAGAGTCTAGATGAGTCAGCAGGAGACAGGCTGCTGCTTTTAGTGATTTCATCTTTCTGCCATTCAGGCACGAAAAGCTTATGTTATAGTTTGATTTGTTGATTTCAAGTTATTTTTTCCATGTCTCTTGGGCATGAATCAAGACAAGCTCAGCAAAGATGAAAGGCTTTGATATATGGAAAAGTATACTAGGGATAGAGTCAGGCAGTCTGGATTCAAATCCTGGTTTCAAAATGATGACCCAACAGGTAGGATGGGCTAAAGGTAAACCATCTGATAAATCTCATTTTGCTTGTGGGCAAAATGGGGGTGATAATACTGGTACTATCTCCTTTGTGACACTGTTTGTTTTGAGGAAAACCAACCTAAAGAACTTTTAAGATCTATACAGATAGCAGCAGTAATCATCATTACCATCCTCATGCTCATGATTGCTGTCACATTCTCACATAGCCCCTTAGCTAGAAATACAAAGGAATTTATAACATTTGACAAATTCAAAAAAGGACTATTATTCAAGTGCCCACAATACTCATTCACTTACTGGGCAACCGGAATCAAGTCCCAAACCAAATAATAACCATTTTAGTTTTAGTGTGTGGTCTTTTTTTTGGGAGGGGAGGGAGAAAGAATAGTAGGGAAGTGATGGATTGTGGGGTCAGGAGCCCCGGAACAAGTCCTGCAACTGGGTTTGTGTCCCAACTTTGTCACTAACTCACTGTATTGCTGTGACCCAAGTCTCTCCCTGGATGGCACTTCCTTCATCCTCTTCTAAAACCTCTGCAATCTGCCTTTCACCCTCACTGCTCAACTGAAACTGCTCCTTCTAAGTGTCTGATGATCTCTTACTTGCCAAATCTATTGGCCTCTTCTGAATCCTCATCCTTCTTGACTTCTCTGCAGCATTTAACATTGTGGACCACCTTCTCTTTCTGACATGATATAGTATGATAAGATTTATTAAGTGTCTCTACTATGTGCCAGGCATTGTGCTAAGCGCTGGGGATATAAATGGGAAAAAGAAAGACAGTTTCTGGCCTCTTGAAACTTATACTCTAACAGGAGAAAACAATACAAAAGAAAATGAAGCTGACAAGGGAGGGAGCAGGGAGATGAAGGAATGCAACATGAGGACATGGTAGAAGAAGTCTAGAGTTCAGTCTAGAGAGAAATGTGATGTAGCTGTCCTAAGCATCCTCCTTAAATGGAAGTTCTGGAAATAGCCATCCAATCAGAGGGAGAGGACACAGGGGTGGAGGGTATTTCTAATGTGTGTATTTCTAAGCTGGAGTGAGGTTCCAGAATGGAGAAATTTCTGGGGCATTGCAAAAAAATCAACTTGGTGAGGAATGAGGGATGAAGTATACTATGGAAAAGTATCTCTTATTCAAAAGAAACTAGACAGGCAAATGTTGGGAGTATCATCCATCAATATAGAAGAATAAACTCGCATGAGGTAATCTTGAAACCAGAGGGCATAAGCATGAGGAGGGTGGTAGGTAAAAATCATAAGAAATAAAAACCTAAGTTTTCTTGTCACCAGAGAATATTTTATATACCACATGGACAGAAAAATGAAATAGACAAGTTCAGGAAATGGATCATAAAGGTGGCAAAGAACCATGATACGGTAGTGACAGAATTCAAGACAGAAGTGAGGAGAGCTAAGTTTAATGTACACCCTAGATTTGAAGAAAGAAGATTTCAAATGGTTTAGTGAAAAGAAAGGTAGGATTTTATGGTCTGAACTTCTACAGGAGAAATCAGCAAAGGAGCCCTTAAGAACTAAGTTCTAAAGACACAAAAAATAAATAATTCCAAAGAAGAGATAAAAAGTGGAACTGCCTAATGAGACCATAGTGGACACACAGGAAACCTACTAGCCAACTTAGTTCTTAAAAAGACATGTAAAAAAGGATGAACACAAAAATGTGGAATAGCCCTTTACAAATAGTATCAAGAGTGTGAAAGCTGCACGTGAGTTAAGGCTGGCGAGGAAACCTGAGGATAACAAAAGAGAGTTGCTTTTGTGTTTTTAAAGATACACTAGGGAGAAAGGAGACTCATAGAAGGTACAAGACTACTGCAAAGGGTAGATGGGACAGTGAGACAACAGAGAGAAAACAGAGTGACTCAACTCTTATTTCACTTCTGTAATTTATTCCAATGAGAATGAACTTTGCACTGGAGAGGCCACAAACAGTTCCAAGAGAACCGATATCCAGTGGTACATTCCGAGAGCATGGACCTGCCCTTGATGACCTCATCACCCAGCTCACATTAGCTATACCTTCTGGTAATGAAAGAACTGACAAATGTGATTGCTAAGCCACTGTCGGTAACTTCTGAAAAATCATGTAGGATGGAAAAAAATGCTGGAAAACTGGAGAAGGAGAAATGGTTATATTCTCAAAATTAGGAAGCAAACAGAGACTGCAAATATGGACCACAGAAAACTTGACTTCAATTCTTGGCAACATTCTAGTGTTGTCAGAGAGGTGTTAGAAAAGGAAGGACTGATCACAAAGGGTTGAAATGACATCACTACAATATGTCACAACAAACTAACATTTCATTTTTCTGGACAGAGTTACTAGACAGGTGGATCTAATGACTTCTATAGATATAATTTACATAGATTTTAGCAAAACATTTAAATCTATGATGCTATTCTTATGGAAAAGATGAAGAGTTGTGCCCTAGATGATGAAATAATAATGTGGTCTTGCAATTGGTTGAATGGCCAAACTCAAAGAATGGTCACTGATGATTCTATGGCAACTCCAAAGATCTCCATACATGAAATATCTCAGGGATCTAAGCTTGGCTCTATGCCATTTTATCAATGACTTAGATTTAGACATAGATGGCATGCTTATCACATTTGAATCTGACGTACAGAAAAAAGGAACTGCTGCTTCCTCCCCCAATGAGAAAACAAGGATCCCAAAATACCTTAATAGGAGGCTTGAATACTGGGCCAAATTGAATAAGATGACAATTAGGATAAATCTAATGTCTTACATTTGGATTACACAACGAACTTCACAAGTACAAGATTGGGGAGATGTGGCTGGTCAGCAGTTCACCCCAAAATGACCTAGAGGTTTGAGTGAACTGAAGACTCATTAAGAGTCAACAGCAGGCAAGAAAGCTAAAACAATCCTGGTCTGCTTTAAGATCAGCACAGTGTACAGCAACAGAGAGCTGAGAGTTCTGTTACCAGGTTCGATGTTAAACAGTGTGTTCGGTTTGGGGTACCAAATTCTAGGGACGGCATTGTATGCTGCACGGTGCCCAGAGGAAGATATCTAGGATGGCACAGGACCTACATCATGTCAAATGAGAATCAACTGAAGAAACTGAGGATTTTCAGCTTGGAAAAGAAAAGAAAAGAAAGATTGAGTGGGTACGTGATAATTGTCTTTAAGTATTTGAAGGGCTGTCCTATTAAAGAAAGATCAGGCTTGTTCTGCTTGGCTCCAGAGGGCAGAATGAAGGACAACAGGTAGAAGTTGCAAAGTGGCAAATTTTGGCTTGATATAAAGAAAAACTTCCTAAAAATTAAAGCTGCCCCAAAGACAGACAGGTTTGAAAGGGGCGTAGTGTGTTCACCCTCACTGGGGGTGGGGGGATGATCTTCCAGCAAAGGCTGTTGGACGACTTGCCAGGTGTACAGGAGAATGTGGGCTAGGTGTTCCAGGAGGCTGAGCCCATGCTCTCTGAATGCCTATTGCCAGGTGTGATGTTGGGTGAATTCTTATTCAGATACAGGTTCCTTCCAACACAGAGCCTGTAAGACCATGACTGTGGGACCAAGTCTCCTTTCAGATTATGTTGCTAATCTGTGTCTCCTAGCATGTGGTACTTTTAGATGGACATTATTAACATCCCCAAAGAGTCCTAGATTTGGAAATAGGAGACTTGAGGTTGAATTCTGCTTCTCCCGTTGACTATGAAAGCTATTTTGGATAAGTCTCTTCTTTCCCTCTCAGAACCTCATCTGTCCAGTGAGTGGATTAGACTAAATTATCTCTAAGGGCTCTTCTAGCTCTATACCTTATGGTTGAATGGTATCTAAATTTATCATGAAGAGAATTATAGAGGCCAAATGACTTCCATGGTCTATAACCTGGCATTATTAAAGACTAATTACTGAAATGCCATTACATAGATGATGTCTAATGCTTACCTTCTGGGATCCTAACATAATGGGGTTGGGGTGACCTATTTAAATAGTCTTTTTATAATTTATCTTCTTCATTTGGAAGATTAGGATAACAATACATGTACTCCATACCTCATGGGTTTATCGCGAGGAAAATAACTTAAATACTTTAAATTGCTGAAGACATGTTAGTTATCATTTTAAAAAATACCAATCTTCCTGTTTTCTCCTCCCTTCTACTTTCTACTTAAGTGCTGGGAAAAAGAAATAGGGGGATTTTTTGGTTTGAATGTAAATATGAAAATAGGTTAAGACATTGTAGAGCCAAGGAACATCTTTTAGTTCTGAAAAGAAAATAGAATAGTAATATTTTATTCTACAACTATTCTATTTCATTTTATGCCTCACCATTTCATTTTGCTCTTAATATTCAGAATTCTATCTTTCTTTTTAATGAACAAAACCAAAAGAAAGTAAGGCAAAAACATGAACAAAAAACCCCAAAGTAAACAAAACAATGCAGAAAAGTGATTGTAAATGACTGTGAATGTGGGAGTAGGAGTTTAGATAATACATGTTGTTCCCAACACACATATAGTTCAGTCTAATAGATTATTAGGAAACTACAGAGAATCATAGTATCAGAAGAAACCTTAGAAACGCTCACAGGGGCAGCTAGATGGAGCAGGGGGATAGAGCA